ATAACTTTTTATTACTGACTACGTAATCAAATATGAACTTCAAATATGAACTTATTCCTCCTTTCATACATTTTGCCATCTCTTTTTCCTGGCTTTCCTATAGATCTTTTTCTCCTTCCTTGACTAAAAAGATGATTTATGTGTTTTTGTTTGTTTTTGTTCCTCATTGCTTACCACATGATTGAAATAATAGAAGATAGTAAAATAGTACTGATATGAAATTATTCAAAGTAACCGGAAATGATAACGGGATCAATTTTCCTGCCATATACATTAATGCAATGATCCATCACTCCAATATAGGAAACTTGGTACTGACGTCTCAAGAAACTGCTGCGTCCATGGAGGCCTGTGGTGATGTTCTGCAGAATGGCTCACGTGTAGCTGTATGGTTTCTTTGTAGCCATGTTCTTCCAACCTTTGTCTATGTATCAACTCTGCTCTGCAGGGGACCTTGAGCAAGCGCAAACCCAGCATATCCAAGAAGGGGCGGAGCTAAGGTCGCTACCGGAACCAGCCGGAAGGAGCTCTACCCGCCATTTTGTGCAGTTGCTTGGCGGCCCCGGACACTTAAGCGTCTGTTCGGTGTTGAGGTATTTTTAAGGACTTTGAAGAGGGTCTGTAGGCTCTGTGACTGGAGAGGTATGTGTGGGGGGTGATTAAAGTGGATTTTGGCGTTGGTAATGGGGGGGTGAAGTAATGGATTTCGGTCAGGATAGTGACTCGTTCGAATCTGAGGTGAACGCAAGGGTCACTAATTTCTGTTTTTCTTTTCTCATATTTTCATCCTGAAGTTCCACGTTTAGGTATGTATTGCTTTTGGTCTTATTAGGTGTACTTTTTTTTTCAATTGCAGTGATTTTTCTTTTTACCACGAGTTACATAAAAGTGCCTTTTGAGTTTTCAAAAGTTAAACATTTTATTAATTTCAAACACAACTGATTTGTGCCTTATGTGATACTCATTCATTAGAATGTGTTCAGACTTCCTTTCAGGCTAATTGAAGGGTCAGTTTTGTAATAAGATTGTATCTCTAGCTCAATGGTAGTACGAGTTCTCCGACCGATAATTGTCTTATTCAAAAGTGTATATTCTTTCAGCGTGTGTGCTTGCTCTTTATGTGATACTCATTCATTGAGATGCGTTTACACTTCCTTTAAGACTAAATCCAGGGCCAGTTTTTTTTTTAGTAAATATTGCATCTCTAGCTCAAGAATAGTATGAGTTCTCCAGCTGATAATTGTCTTCTTCAAAAGGGTATATTCTTTCCGTGTGTGTGCCTGCTCTTTTAATCACTGGGAGTGATTTTTGTGTGTGTGTATGCATATATATATATGTATATATAAATGTATGAGTGTGCACAGATCTACATCTATTTTGTATATATATATACATTTTTTGTATATTTACATATTTTACTTGGTGCTACTAGGTTCCCATAAGACTACTCTCAGAATAAAAATCATGAAATTATTTTAGGTGAGTGAGTCAAGGCAGACAGGTCATGATCTGGCATGTGCACTAGGGAGTGGGGATAGATAGGGCTTGGCATGGCCTAGGACATGGAAGGCAAGGCAGAACTGGATAGGTACAGGAAGTGAGAGGAGCATATGAGGCTGAGAGAGTCTGGGAAGAGGGAAGGGCCTTGGATGATTATATGGGGCAAGGCTAGGTTTGCCTTGGTGCAGTGCATGGGGCTCACAGGACTGGGAGTGTAAGGTGTGTCCAAGAGGGCAGTCTGGTGGGCGGGGCCTGTAGAGACTGGGTGGGGCAGCGGGTGGGTGGAGCATGTCCGACGGGTGGGTCACGAATGTTTGGGTGGGCTAAGCAGAGATGTCGTGTGGGTCCATGGTACAGGGCAAGCAGGGTAGCAAGTATGTTCTGAAGGATGGGGCAGGGCAGGCTGAGTTGACCAAGTGTGAGGGAGTGTGGTCGAGGCTTTTTGAGCAGATAGACAGGGCTTTATGCATTCTGGTGGGCAAAGTGGGGGCAGCAAGGACCGGCCAGGTGTGTCTGGATAAAGTGGGCAAGCAGGGCCAGGTGGTGCCATTCAGTCCCCGGCAGGTGCAGTGAGACCTGGCCATGTTGGCCAGAAGGTGGGACCAGGAGTGTTGGCACAGGGTAAGTCTGTTCCCACTCAGGGCCGACCCAGAGTCCTCCTCCCAGCAGCACAGGAGCCCTACTTGTAATTCCCAGGCTCTGGTGAGTTCAGGACACCGGGCAGATAGGGGAGTGGAGCTAGTGCAAGGGTTTGCCCTTCAGCTCTTGCCTGTAATATCCGCAGATACCTTGCCGTGGTCACACTGCCCACTGTCCATTAAATCAGAGCTGCCTACTTTGGACCGCAGAAGTCCAGGCTGTCCCAAAAGTACCAGATGCTGGCAGTGCCATTAGCAGTAAAGGAGGGCTCTCACTCCACTCCAGCTGTGGTCTGAAAAGGACCTTCCTCAGGGCTGAACCTTATGCCAGGACATTTGCAGAGGGGACTTTTGACAAAGCCTGATGAGTGTATGACAGGGCCTCTGGTTTGAAAGAAGGGGACAGTGAAGACAGAGAGGGTCATCAATTTGGAGGATGAAGTGAGGCAGTGTCTCAGCATGATCTAAGACACAAATTCGGAAGACCTGCAGTCATTTTCCTGGCCTACAGTCCTGGATGAGTGACCCTGAGGAGACCCAGTTGCCGGATCCTGCATTGCAGAAAGCAGCAGTGAATGTGAAGAAAAAGAAGTTGGATGAAAAGGTGGAATGCAAGGTGACAGAAATGGTGGAATGGGGGACATGAAGACAGGGGTCGGGTGGAACACGGGGCTGGGTTGCAAGGTTAGGAAGCTGACATCAACTCTCCCGTCCCTGCCTTGACCACTCTTGTTCCACAGAAAGAGAAGAAGCAGCAGCGAAAGGCCATGGCAAAGCATAAACACCTGGAGAAGACCGCTGCCGAGGATCCGCCCTCGGTGCAGCAGTGCCTGGGACCTGGCTGTGTGTATCCCACCCGGCCAGGCTCCAAGTACTGCTCAGATGACTGTGGCATGAAGCTGGCCGCTGAGTGAGTGAAGTTAAGCAACAGGGTGTGGAGTAAGGCGTAATAGATGCCATCCATAAGTCTGTCTCTCTACCTGTGTATCCTCTCACCATTCATCCACCCAGCCACTCGTCCATTCGCTCTTACGGTCACCTGCCCACTGAACCACCCATCCCCATTCCATCCACCCACCCACTCATCCCCCTTGTAGTCACTTACCCACCTATCCATCCACCATTCCATCAGCTATTCATCACCATTCGGTCACTCACTCATTTCTTCTCTTAATGTCCCTACCTACCCATTCCATACTTGTTGTCTCCCTTTCTAGGCGCATCTGTCATATTCTGCCCCAGCGCGTCCAGCAGTGGCAGAAGAGCCCCTGCATTGCTGAGGAGCATGGCAAGAAAATGCTTGAGCGCATCCATCGTGAACAGCAGGACGCTCACACCTGCCTGAAGGACATGGAGTGCCATTTCCAGGAACTTGAGGCCATAATCCTGTGGCCTGTTAAATCTAAACTGGTAAACATTACTCAAGATTTTCTTTGTAATGGGTGTCTGAGTGGCTTCGTTGGTTAAGAGTCCGACTTCGGCTCAGGTCATGATCTCATGGCTTATGAGTTCAAGCCCTGCATCAGACTCTGTGCTGATAGCTCGCAGACTGGAGCCTGCTTCAGATCTTGCGTCTCCCTCTCTCTGCCCCTCCCCAGCTCACACTCGGTCTCTTTCTCTCTCTTAAAAGTAAACATTAAAAATTAAAAAAACAAATTGTTTGGAGCTAAAATACTTCATTGAATTGTAGAACTTTCATGAATATAAGAGAAGAAAATAAATTCTTTGATAGGTACAGAGTAGTCATTAAGGATTTCAGTCTAGTTTGGTGATTAATGTTTGTTTACTCTGACTTTTTTGTGTACTTCAGTTGTTATATTATAAAAAGAATAAATGCAATAATATTTTAAAAGCTTTTTTCCTTGTGGTTCTGTGTTTTGTGGAGCGGGGGAGAAGGGGCATCCTAAAGTGTATATTGTGGGCCATGTTGAATAATGACATTATGTATTTTCCTTGTTTTGTCTTTTTTGTTTGCTTGTTTCCTTTTTTGTTTGCTTCCTTTTTTGAACGCTTTTGACCTTGAGTACTTTGATAAGTACATCACCACTGCTGCTTTTATTTTGCTGCCACTCACCTTGTGTATTTTTGCCTAAGTCTTTATTTTGCGTATTTATCTTTAAGATACACTTCAACTGTATATGTTTTTTTCCTTCATCCCACATTAGTGTCTTGAGATTCAGTCCATTTAAATTCGTATAATTATGATCATTTTATCTTTCTTTTTTTTTTAATTTTTATTTATTTCTAGGAGAGAGAGAGAGAGACAGCGTGAGCATGGGAGGGTCAGAGAGAGAGGGAGTCACAGACTGAAACAGAATCCAGGCTCCGAGCTGGCAGTCAGCACAGAGCCCGATGCGGGGCTCGAACTGACGAACCGCGAGATCATGACCTGAGCGAAAGTCGGATGCTTAAGTGACTAAGCCACCCAGGCGCGCCAGATCATTTTATCTTTCTGTGTTGTGCTAATTACTGATTTTACTTTTTCCTAAATACAGCGTTTATCCTTTTCTTCTCCCTAATAGCTCAGTGAAGTTTCTGTTCATTTCTGTCCCTCCCCCTTACCTCATTAATTTGGAAATTTTTATTTTTACTAATTGCTCATTATATACTTTTTCACTTCTAACACACATGATTCAATTCGTTTTCTCTATTATTTGATCAGAATATAATTAGACCTTTTTCTCTTAGAAAATATTTTAAATATTTTATTTATTTATTTATTTATTTATTTATTTATTACAAATAGTTTATTGCCAAGTTGGTTTCCATAGAACACCCAGTGCTCATCCCAACAAGTGCCCTCCTCTTTCTTTCGAAAAAAATTTTTAATGTTGATATATTTTTGAAGGAGAGCGACACACAGAGCATAAGTGGGGGAGGGGCAGAGAGATAGATAGAGGGAGAGAATCCGAAGTGGGCTTCAGGTTCTGAGCTGTCAGCACAGATGACAAGTGGGGCTTGAACTTACAAGGTGTCAGATCATGACCTGAGCCAAAGTTGGACGCTTAACCGACTGAGCCACTCAGGCGCCCCTAATTAGACCTTTCATTGTAAAGAAACATGCTCTTGTATCCTTTGGATAAATTCCTAATAGTGCTATTAGAGCCCAAATGTCTATCAACTGATGAATGGATAAAGAAGATGTGATTCATACATACAATGGAATACTACTTGGCAATGAGAAAGAATGAAATCTTGCCATTTGCAACAAAATGGATGGAACTGGAGGGTATTATGCTAAGTGAAATCTGTCAGAGAAAGATATCATGTTTTCAGACATATGTGGAAATTGAGAAACTTAACACAAGACCATGGGGAAGGGAAGGAGGAAAATAGTTTCAAACAGAGAGGGAGGCAAACCATAAAAGATTCTTTTATTTTTTCTTTCTTAAATTGCTTATTGTCAAGGTGGTTTCCATATACCCAGTTTTTCATTCCAACAAGTGCCCTCCTCCATGTCCATAACCCCCCTTCCTCTCCCCCCCAATCCCCATCAACCCTCAGTTGGTTCTCAGCATTCAAGAGTCTCTCATGGTTTGCCTCTCTCCCTCTCCCCCCACTATTTTCTCCCTTCTCCTCCCCTATGGTCCTCCGTTAAGTTCCTCGTAATCTACCTATATGTCCAAACATATGGTATCTGTCCTTCTCTGCCTGACTTATTTCGCTCAGCATAACACCCTCAAGTTCCATCCATGTTGCTACACATGGCCAGATTTCATTCTTTCTCATTGCCATGTTGTATTCCATTGTATAGACAAATCACATCTTCTTGATCCATTCGTCCGTTGATGGACACTTAGGCTCTTTCCATGTTTGGACTATTGTTGAGAGTGCTGCTCTGAACATTGGGGTCCATGTGCCCCTATGCATCAGCACTTCTGTATCCCTTGGGTAAATTCCTAGCAGTGCTATTGCTGGGTCATAGGGGAGTTGTATTGTTAATTTTCTGAGGAACCTCCACACTGTTTTCCAGTGGGGCTGCACCAGTTTACATTCCCACCAACAGTGTAGGAGGGTTCCTGAAGAAACAAATTCTTAACTATAGAGAACATACTAATGATTACCAGAAGGGAGGTCGCTGGGGATATGAGTTAAATAGGTGATGGGGATTAAGGAGTGCATTTGTTGTGATGAGCACTGGGTGCTGTATGGAAGTGTTGAATCACCATATTGTACACCTGAAAGTAATATTACATTGTGTGTTAAGTATCTTGAATTTAAATAAAAACTTAAAAATATATTTTAAATGTGTTATCCTAATTGTATAAAATACAATTTCAATAGGGAATATAACTCTTTCAAGATTCAAAAATTAGATAGTATTTCTTCCCTGCATATATAATCCCTTAGTGGCAATCTATTAATTCAAAGAAAAGGAATCCATAGGGTCACCAGGGTGGCTCAGTAGTTTAAGCTTCTGACTTTGGCTCAAATCATAATCTCACGGTTTGTCAGTTCGTGTCCCATATTGGGCTCTGTGATAACAGAGCAAAGCCTGCTTCAGATCCTCTGTCTCCCTCTCTCTCTGCACCTCCCCCACTCTCTCTCTCTCTCTCAAAAATAAATAAACATTAAAAAATATATGTATATTTAAAAATCCATACGTTTCCTGTGGCGCCTGGGTGGCTCAGTTGGTTAAGCATCCGACTGCTCAGGTCATGATCTCATGGTCTATGGATTCGAGCCCCATATGGGGCTCTGTGCTGACGTCTCAGAACCTGGAGTCTGCTTCAGATTATGTGTCTGTCTCTCTGCCCCTCCCCCATTCTCTCTCTCTCTCACTCTCTCAAAAATAAATAAACATTTTAAAAAAACCATTTATTTTTCATAATGAGTCCAGCATTTGTCCTCAAAATTTTTAAAAATTCACTTTGCTTCACTGAATATCACATACTATTTCGTATACATAGAGTTATTGGACATCAGATACTTTTTCTTTACTTCCACATCTTTGCACTTTGCATCATACGTCTTATCTTCTGATTTAAGCTCTTCCAATATTGACAGGTAAACATATTCCTCCATGGAGAATTTACTTTTCCTACCGACTTGTATTTGTTTTGCAGTTTTCAGGATTGCTACAAGACCAGGAATGTATATAATATATTTCTCTCCTCTCATTTCCAAGCATAACATCTGGTACTCAACTGGCCAGGAACAGTGTTTTTGGAAGCTCTCAAAATAACTGAAAAATTAAGAGAGTTTAGTTTAGTCCTCATAGTTTAGTAAAGAATAACTTTTACTGTATGAACACAGTGAATTGTAAAAATCCTAAGTATGTTTTATTTTCAAAAAATATTATATAATATGAAGTATTTAGTAGGCATAATATGTTATATACCATAATGAAATTTTTTAAACATTTTTTAATTTTTAAAGTTTATTTATTTTTGAGAGACAGAGAGAAAAAGAGTATGAATGGGGGAGGAGCAGAGAGGGAGACACAGAATCTGAAGCAGGCTCCAGACTCTGAGCTGTCAGCACAGAGCCCAAAGTGGGGCTCATACTCACGAACCATGATATCATGACCTAAGCCAAAACCAGACACTTAACCAATTGAGCCACCCAGGCTCCCCTTAAAGATTATTAACTAGAAGATATGGGTTATCCTGGCTGGGGCAGGAAAAGTACAAGATGAATCTAAATATTTTGTTGTCCTGGAAAGTCAGGATGTGCTGAAGGAATCATGGGGACATGTCAAAAGGTCATAAGATTCCAGTTGGAAGTGATTTCTACTGGCCAAAGCTGAGAACGTCTTAAAATCTTTAAAAATAAAATTTCAAAATAAATATAGTAATAGATTATAAACTGATTGAATAAATTAAGGATCCATGAGTCTGTTTGTTTATAAATAAATGAAAAATAAAGAAATTCTGCTTCTTTGTAGTAGAAGGTCAGCTAATAAATACAAAAGAAATTTGGAGTTAGAAAATTACTATCAATAAACTAGTGGGTCAGAGTGCCTAAAATGAACAAATCAGGAGACTATAGATGCTGGCGAGGATGTGGAGAAACGGGCACCCTCCTACACTGTTGGTGGGAATCTAAACTGGGTGCTGCCCCTCTGGAAAGCAGTGTGGAGGTTCCTCAAAAAATTAACAGTAGAACTACCCTATGACTCAGTAGTAGAACTGCTAGGAATTTACCCAAGGGATACAGGCAAAGAAGGACAGATGCCATATGTATGCCCATACAGGTGGATTAGGAGGAAGTTAACGGAGGATCACGGGGAGGAGAAGGGAAAAAATAGTTGGGGAGAGGGAGGGAGGCAAACGATGAGAGGCTCTTGAATGCTGAGAATAAACTTAGGGTTGATGGGGTGGGGGGAGGGGAAGGGGTGTTATGGGCATGGAGGAGGGCACTTGTTGGGATGAGCGCTGGGTGTTATAAGTAAATCAACTTGACAATAAACTATTTAAGGAAAAAAATAAAAAAATGTGAGACTGCCTTTGCAATGAAGCGGTAGACAGAGACTGAAAGAATTTGGAGG